CCCTTGGACACTGAGGTTGCTCCTGTAGCTAGGCTATTGAAGAGGATGCTGTAATGAACATAGACGTCTCTACAAGATGCTGGTATCATTTTCTAGGGATATTTTTCATAGTTGGCTTGGTGATGTTTACTTGGATATAAATAACTTATACATCACGGAGGAGATGATGACATGATTTTAGGCCATGAGTTTAGAACCAGTGTTTCTGGGCTCTGGTGAGGCTCATCCCGGCATAGATGGTATGATAGAGAAATTTACCTCATGGTGGCCTGGAGGCAGAAGAGAAGTAGGAAGGGGATAGAGACAAGGTTACCCTTAAAAGTGACATCCCAGTCCTCTATTCCTCCACTCAGGTTTCAGGTCTTAATACTCTTCAAAATTTGAAATTTGTGCCTGGCAATGCTGAAGCATGCATGGGCAGCTCATATATGGCTGTTCTGTTGTCCATATTGAGTTTCAGGGTCTAAGTTGATGAGGACAACTGACCAGATCTCTTCCTCCTTAATACGCTATACCATATGATAATGGATTAAGTCATTGATGAAATCAGTTTTCCGTGATACAGCCACTTTTCAATAGTGCCACCAGCCAGGGAATAAGCCTTCAACACAGGAGCTTTGGGGAGGTTCGTATTCAAGACACCTCAACCGGGTCATTTGGCAACCCCGTATCTTGATTTTGTTATTTTAAATGTCTATATAATGTTTTCTGTGATGCCTGATTCATTTTCATTCTAGAAGACAGAATAAGGATGCCATTTAGTCTATATCCTTGCCTACTATACTGACTTTGTAGCGTTAATTCACTGTGGTTATAATTTGTAATTCTCTGTAATTGGTAATTCTGAGTATTTCCCCATACACCTGTGTATCCGTTACTTTTCAATTGCTGTGATGAAAACGCCACGAGCAAGGCAGTTTATAGAAAGAGGAGTTTATTTGGTTTACAGTTTCAGAGGGGTCAGAGTCCGTCACGGTGGGGAGGCATGGCAGCAAACGGCAGGCGGAACAGGTGGGGCAGGAAGCTGAGTCTTCACAGCCTTTAGCATAAAGCATGAAGCAGAGAGAACCGGAAATAGCAGGATTCTTTAAACTTCCAAAGCCTCCATCCAGTGACATCGTTTCTCTACAGAGACCACACCTGCAGCAAAACATCAGCCGGTAGGCTGACTTTATAGCGAACAGAAGATTATTTAGTTTTTGACTTTAGACGTTGACTGTCCAAAGACCATGGCACAAGCTTTGGCCAAATCCCCCAGGAGGGTTATGCCAAGCCAGAGAGAAGCAAATGGGGAGAGGTGCAGGCTTGTAGACCTGAGCTCTTGGGAACTAACCATAATCTGTGAGAAGAAATTTCCATTGCCTTCTAAAGCTGTGCTCACACTGATCTGAGCTCCAAGCACTGGTCCCTCCTTGCTAGAGCCACCCCCGCATTTGTTCGCCACCACATTGGACAGCATGCTTCCAGCATGTCACAGGTACGCCACAGCACAAGGCAAAGCGGTCTTTGTGGCTATGTCAAGTGAGTGATAGTGAGACCAGATTTTGATGTGGGGTTACCCAGATGGGCCTAATGTAGCCCGAGTCTCTGCTGAGTCAGGAGAGTCAGAATCAGAGACAGCAAAAGCCTCCAGAAACCGGAAGGACTAAGAAAACATGCTATTTCCTCTAGCTTCCGAAAGGAACACAATTCCGAGGACATCGGGAGTCAATCGTGTTGGGGTGTCTTAAAAGCAAATCTTCTATGGGCTCAACTAGACACACAGTCCCAGTATCTAGGAGAGGGATCCAGTGCTCAGGCCTTTGTGAGTTCAATCCCAGTCTGGGAACCTCTAGGACAGTCCACAGCTCCACGAGGGGCAGCTGTCACACTGGCCACTAGATGTCAGGCTTTGCCCTCCTCCCTGTTAGTCAGCCCCCCTCCACCCCTCCACCCCTTCCCAGGGTTGTTTCCTGAGCATTGTCCTAAGTAACCTCACAAGTGCGCTGCAGTTTGAGGGGCACCGTTACTCACATGTACAGCTGAGGAAACGAAGGCCTAGAAGCTAACTTAGTCACCAGTTAGGCTGGGCCAAGGACAGGTTGTGACATCCCATTTTGCCATGCTACCTTAATTTAGGAAGGGGCTTTCCATCTGTGAGCGTTTAACATATAAACACAGACATAAAACACGCGGACCTAAGGACAGAACCGGGAGAAAACTTCAGGGTCCTTTCAAAGAAATCTTATTACAACATTGTCATTCATCTTTAGTTTTGCTCCATTTTCATAAAATGGAAGGGGAAATCTTTTGAAGAATTAAATAGGGTGATTTTAAATTTCCTGAACAATCTTTGGATGAATAAGCTAAGGTTTAATATCGAACATGTCATAAGACATTTATGCGTGGCCTCTGATAGAAGAAAGTGGTTGCAGAGGCCAGAAAATATAAAGTCCACTGAGCACAGAGGCCCCAAAGTCATGTCTGTCCAAACCCTCTCTGTCATCAGTGTGTGGTGATTGAGGTATGGGTGATGTGTGTGTGTGCGCGTGCGCTTGTATGTGTGTGTGCACGTGTGTATATGTGCATGTGTGTGTGTGAGCGTATGTGTGTGTGTGCGTGTGTGTAAGGGAGGATACTGAGAAAGATAAACAAGAACACTTCTGGCCTTTGGGCTCCTAAAAATTCAACTATTGTGGACTTTATGAGTTGATACTTTCCTTATGATTCTGATGAAAGCCTCCACTACCACTAGCAAGCAAACACTGTCAACCCAGACTCATCTCCCCGGTGAACAGGCAACTGTAATATTCTGGGTAGACTTCTCACCAACTTTGTGAACATAAACAGGAATACTGAATTAATTTTCAAGACATTTTAACAGAAAAATGTTTCATGAAGGAAAAAAAATCATAAAACAATTAGCTTAAGGATGTAAAAAGCTATTTAACTAAGAAAAGTCTGGATAAAGTTTTCTCTTCCTTGTTTCATCTTTTTTCTTGTCAAATCCCAATAGGATTAACACAAATTGTAAGACCAAGAAAATCAGTCAATCTCTCTGCCCCCCTCATATATATATATATATGCATATATACACATATAATATGTATATATTGTATATATTCACATGAAATTGTAAGGGATATATATATTCACATGAATATATATCCCATATATGTATTAATATATCCCATATGTACGAATATATTATATATGTATTATACAATATATACACACAATATATATAATATATAGTGTATATATATATGTGTGTATATATATATATATATATAAAATCTCCTTTACAGCTTTTTTAAATCAACCAGATAATTGTGTGTCAAGGACCCCGTGAAGGCCAGCTAAATGCCCTATGTAATCCTGCCCGATGTATTGTGGGAGGCAGTTTACATGTACGCACACCTACCACTGAGCGGTCCCTAGACTTCCATGCTGCCACTACACTCAGAGTTTAAAGACCGGACCCGCAGCACACTAAGCTGCCGTGCTGGATCCCATGCTCGCCCTTTGAACTGCTCGGGATCAGCCACTGCCACGGCAGCAGGAGCTTAGGGACAGTCGGGGTAAGGCTGGAACCGCAGCAGTGACTGAAGGAAATCAGGACCACAGTTCCATCACCAGTGACCCCAAAGCGACGACCTTTCTCCTCTTGGAGAACTCTTTTCTCTGGGGTTCCAGGAAACCCACCTGCCTAGCCCATCTGGCTCCCAGGCAAAGCCTCGACAAGGTCCAGAAACTCTCACGACCACTCTGCACCCATCTCTCCTTACGCTGTAGCCATCTCCCCTCTGCATAAGGGACTGCGTCTTTTGAGGGCAGAAAACCATTTTCTCCCCCCAGGAAGCATCCAACTACCTTCCCAGCCCTTAGGACAAACAGCCGCCATCAAGGCTCCTGTGCTGGAAGGAATGGAGGCCACGGAATGGAGGCCACGTAAACAAGATAGCCACATAGTTCTATTTAGAACAGTTATCAGCCTTCTCCAGTTTCCTGGTGTTTTCGAGTGTTTACAGTCCAAGTGCTTGCATAGTCTTGCATTTGGTTATTAATCGTTTTACTTGGTTAGTGCTTCGCATCCTGAGGGAGGGCAGCTACTGACTTGTGACACAAACGGTGAGTGGGCCCTGGGCCCTCCATCCTTGGATTTCCCTTGGGATACCCGGTGAGGTCACCCTGTATTTACATCTGATTTTCTTTTGATTTGCACCACTTAACTGTGGCGGTAATGACTTTGCCATCGGAGTGTGCATTTCATGAAGCTGAGACCCTAAAATACACTGCAGTGAATAGTGCGATAAGATTGTAGGAAAGTAGAGGACCACCTGGGGTACACCGAGTCCCCATGTGGACTGTGGGGACAGATCGCTGATCCTGACCAGTCTTTGGAACTGAATGTGAGGGCTGCTCAGAGTCTCTCTAGGTCTCCTGAGTGTTAACTCAGCACCATCACCTGGACCCCAGATGCTTCCAGAATGTTTGGTAACCAGGTCATTTCTTTCTTTGGTTCCTGGGACTGTCCAGTTTAGGTCATTGAGCCACGAGGTTAGTAAGCACTCAATCTCTCAAATGTCAAAAGCTATTCAGGGACAATGAAAACATTTCTTGCCTTGTAGTTCTAGAGACAGCGGCACAGTCAATGTTTTGTGGGGATTCTAGCTGTCACACTCACATCCTCTCCTTTGCTTTCCCAAGGCTCTTAGAAAAGCAAAGCGAATGCCATCCATACATAGAACTGGATGAGAGGCAGTGGGGACTTAAGGCTTTTGAAAGTGAAGTGGGTTTTTCAATGCTAAAAAATAAATTGATAATTTCCACTTTTAAAGACCTGTGTGTAAGGATAATTGAGCAAATAAAGGCTCACTTTTTGAACCTGGTAAGGGATATTTCATTGACTTAATGAGTTTTCAACTCAACAAAATTGCTTTTCAGGAACCAGCTGGTGCTTTTGTTTGTTTGTCTTTGTTTTTTTTATAAACTCAGTGGTTTTTTTTTCTTTTTTAAAGACTTCAGATTTCCTGACATGAAGGACATCCTCGGCAGTGGGTTTTGGGATGCATGGAGACAGCTCTCGAACCCCTGTGTTTACACTCCAGTTCTTTGTTCTTAAGCGGGCTTTGAGGTAGGCAGATTCTTTTATTTATACAATTTCATTCAATTAAAGAAAAGTTTGCCAACTATTCAAGACTTAAAAATAATGAAATACTGAATGTCACCAAGGGCAAGATGGAATAAAAGGTTTCAGAAGCAGTTTGGGCTGCTGCTGGCCTTGATTGGCCTGTCGTGCCAAGTGCTGGGGTTGTCCCTGTGTACGAATGTTCTTGTGAGGTTCCATGCCGGACTAATCTCACAGGTTGTTCTAGGTTTTAGCTGGGGTTTCTACTGCTGTGAAGAGACATCATGACCACAGCAACTCTTAGAAAGGAAAACGTTTCATTGGGGTGACTCACTTAAATTTTCAGAGGTTGAGTCCATTATCATCAGAGTGCGACATGGTGGCCTACAGGCAGACGGAGTGCTGGAGAAGTAGTTCGGAGTCCTACATCTTGCAGGCAACAGGAAACAGTCTGTCACACTGGGCATTATCTTGCGCGTTTATGAGACCTCAAAGTCCGCCTCCACTTTCTCCAACAAGACCACACCTACGATACAAGGCCACACCTACGATACAAGGCCACACCTA